GTATGTAATGTATGTATGTCTGTCTGTCTGTCTGTATGTATGTATGTATGTATGTATGTATGCATGTACGTGTGCAAGGCCACCGTCGACGTTGACCCCAACGCGGAGAATGTCAAATGTATGTCTGCACGTGCATGTTCTTGTGTATCACTATATATATATACACACACATACATATAGACAAACACACACACACACACTTGTATGTACATAGGTGTGTGTATATAGCAGTCCTCTAGCATGCACCGCTTCGAACATGGTTCTTCTGCATGCCTTCTCATTTTTGTATAGTTTACAGTTTGAGTATAACGATTCAATCTCAAAACCTAAACCCTAACTAAACCCTATACACTAAACCTTAAACCCTAATCCTGTGGAAAATATGGACCTCGAACTCGAGGAAGGGTGCGGGAAAGGCGCCCTTCTGCCATCTCTCTTGGGGCTTTCGGGCGAAGAGGGTTTGAGTTCAGGGTTGGGATCATTGGATTTGGGGGGGTTAGGGTTTAGGGTTTAGGGCTTAAGGTTTTCCCTATCAAGCTCTGATCGCAAGGCTTCAATCCCGAAACCTCCACCCGAGGCACAAACAACGTAAACCCTCAGCGCCCGCTGCAGTCCCGGGTGCACCAAAAGCCGCTGCTCCTGTGAGGAGGCTCGTGGCGAGCGTTGCCACGACGCCCTGTGCAGAGACTCTCTTTTGCAGGCTGTCGATGTTTTGGAAAAAGCTGCGGCAATTCCTTGCTGGTTGCTAGTGCCGGGTTTGGATTACTTCTTCCTGTGGCATCATTGAACAAGCATCTTCGTGTTCTTCTTGTCATTCTCATGGCTCTCAGGTTTGCTGCAGGGTTTAGTAAAGTGTTTGTCGCGGTCGCACCTCGAAGCCAAACCGGCAGTAGGCGATGATACAAGGGATCCCTTCGATCACAAGTGCCAGGAGCCAGTAGTTCACCTCAGAGACAACGTGCTCCGGTCTACGTCTGCCATACTTGGTGGCCTGATCTCACCACTTAAGGGGTGCTGGGGGCTATTATGATACATGGCACAATAGTTAATCATTATTCCGACCCCTGAAGTGTGGCAAGCGGGTTTTGAGAGGTTTAGCTGTCCGGGATAAGGCTGCCCCGATGCAAGCAGCATTTACTTAGAATTTATTTACTTTGAAATTCGCTTGCCTAGTTAACCGGCCGAGGCCTCCCAGAGCAAGCCCCCGGCGTCTGCCACGAGTTGTTGCGGACTTATCTCAGTACCAGATGAAACATCTCAAGTAAGGAAGCTCAGCGATCTGAAGCTGCCCGCAGTAGGAAATAACCCTACAGGGCTAAAGCAGCTGCAGCCGACTCCCATATAAAGACCCCTTCATTCATGGGCCTGAAGCTAGCCCCACGATGTGCCGAACTGCTGTCCCCCAGTCGCCCGAGGCAAAAACTCAAAACCTCAACCCAAGACTTAGTTCAAGAGATTAGCTCCAATTCTCCTTCTGCCCTGAACCCGAAAACCAGATTGAGTTGAATCTAGCGGCGATCGTCGGGGAAACTTCCGGTATGTTCTCTGCCCAGTTGCCTCAGCAGACCGGTGCGAGTTAAATTAGACTGATGTATATGTGTACGCAAGTATGTACGCACGTACGTACAGTATACATATACGTCTACACATACATATACATGCACGTATACGTATTGTTATATGTATATATGTAGGTACGTATGTACATATGTATGCATTGCTGTATATATGTCTGTATGTCTGTATGTCTGCATGTCTGTATGTATATATGTATGTATGTATGTATGTATGTATGTATGTATGTATGTGTGTATGTATGTATGTATGTATGTATGTATGTATGTATGTATGTATGTATTCTAACATGCGGGTGCGCACCGACATATATGTATATACATGTATGTGTATATATATATATATACACGAATATTTAACTTTCTCTCCCCCTGTCGACGTTTCCTTCTCTCGGTTGGCGTTGTCACACAGCATGGGGACTGTCGCGCGACCACGCTGCCCAAGGCACCCACTCCTTCTCCGCCTCTTTTTTTCCTAAACCCTAAACCCTAAACCCTAAACCCTATAAACCCTAAACCCTATAAACCTGACTGTCCCTGCATCGATCCCTTGCTCTCCTCTCTTACCATCTCGTTGCTCCTCAGGACCTGCCGCCACGTTGCGAGCCGACTTCAGCACGTTCAAGGCAGTCGCTTTAATTTGTGACGTCGCCTCGCCAGGGATCATTCTCTTGCAAAAGCCCCGTGGCTGAAGTGCTAGTGTCAAGCAAGGAGAGCAGACAGTCTAATCAACAGCTACTCAGCTACTCTGTCTGTGTATGACCGAACGCATCAGGACACGCAAGCCTAGTAAGGATGCCAGGGGCAATGCAGCACTGCCAGAAAAGAAACACAAACCAACACCGACAATAAGGCAGCGTAGAATCAATGGACATTCCCAACTGTTGCCAGAAATTCGGTGAACAGTCTGACTACTGCTTCACTACTGCTACTACCCCAAACACCACCCTTAAGACCATTCGGGCTACTACAGGTGCGACGACGGTACGGAAGAAGAACAAAAATAAGATGACTATGGGACGGTGATGATGACGATAATGCTGATGACGACGATCGGCAGCAGCTCCTCGACTCTCTCAACCTCCGCGCCCTCGGACAAATGCCGACATTTCATGCTGAGGTCCCGGCATCGCCAGCGCCACTGGCTCCGCTTTCGGGGGCCTTGTTAGATTTCAAGATTATATATATATATATATATATATATACAATCGGTGGCGGTGGTGGTGGTGGTGGTGGTGGGGGTGGCGGTGGCGATGGCGGTGGCGGCGGTGGTGCTGGTGTGGTGGCGGTGGTGTGCCACTGCTGCAGTTGTTGTGGTTGTCGTTGTTGTGACCTGTTCTTACTGTGCTCGAAGCTTTCTTTCTTACGGCCGTTCTTGCAACAGGTAAAACCACTGCATCATTGGATGGTCCTGCTGGGCGCTGGGTATGACGAGGTACAACCCAGTAGAACAATCACTCGCGACTGTTTGGCAATGCTACTTACACTTGCCAATCTGCACTCCCTTGCTCTCTTCGTCAATCTACAGGATGAGCAGCCTCCTTGCCGCTGGCGCCGGGTGCAGCTAAGGTTTCGTCAGCCATCTGCCTGGACAGGAGCAGAATATAAGTTCTACGATGCAAACCATTCAGAGTTCACTGGTCTGAAACTCAATAGTCTGTCGGCTACACTCAGTCAAGGCCAGCAGGCAAAGATGCGGCCTTGCCTTCGAGCGCAGAGGCGCGTAAGGGAGCGCTCACTAGCTTCGTAGCGAGTACGCTGTGCAAACGTCCCCAGATCTTTGCCACGTACAAGTTATTATTGGTCGTCCTTGCTGTATGAGTTCGACAACTCGCAAATCTCCCCGCCAATTCCGGTGACCTCCGAATCCAATGTGAGGACTGCAAGTGCACCGTACTGTTCTGCAAGTGAACATGCTGTGGTCGAAGTGTGTCATAGTGTGTCCCTCAGCAACATGTCCATGTCAAGTGGCTGGAGCCGCAATCCCTGCAACTGCGACACGCGCAGAACCACTGTCCGTGACTTTAGGACGGACAGGTTTCCTCTTGCAGAAACCGAAACCAGGCGCAGAATACCTGAAAAACTGTCAAGCAGGCACGACGAAACTACAGAGCAAAAGCTGTGGAACTGAGGTGAACTCACTACCAAAACACATATGCTTATCGCGTCATGTCCAGGCAGAGGGCTGCAACAACCTGTCAAATGTCTGAAAATTAAAATTACCTGAAATGGCCCATGCATCTGCGCGAGCCTGACTCACTGGCTGGCTGCTCTACCTGGCTATGATGTCACAATGGCTATCCCTCTGTATATATGTATATGAACATATATGATCCCGGTTCTCGGT